TTTAGGGAAACTGTGTCAATTTGACAGAAGCCCTGTCGCTCTATGAAGAACAGCTTGGGCGCCTGTATTGTCCTGTGGAGTTCTCGAAGGAGATCGTCTGTGTTCCTTCATACTTGGAATTGTATCCTTTGACCATGACATTGTGTTGCCACATCATAGCACCTAAGTAAATCCTAAGCCAGTTTAACTTTTTAAATCCTAATAATGAACAGAATTAGCTCTGTAGTATGTAAAACCCTGGTTATCAACCTTGACTGGGACTCCTCCTGGGAGCTTTAAAATTATGATTTCTGGGTCCCACTCTCAGAGAGTCTGGGGTGTGGCTTGCCATAGCTTCCCAGGTGCTTTTAATAAGCTGTAGCACTGGTCCAAAGCAGGGATTCTCATAGGCAGTCGCAGGCCAGCCACATTACCTGGGAACTAGATTATGCAAATTCTCAAGCCCCACCCTCACTTGCTGCCCTATCAGACATTGGAGGTGGGACCCAGTGACCTATTTCACCAGTTCTCCAGGGGACTTACATGCACATGAAGCTCTGAAGAAGCCCTAGGCTAAAATGCTACCCAGCCTTTGGCAGGTTAAAGTTCCAGAGACACTCATTTGAATCATCAAAAGTATCCAACTTTAATGGTGGTTTCTACACTTTATTGATTCTGATTTTCACTAGAAATCAAGGACTAAAATAATGCTGGGGACTGCAAAGTTAACAGTGGTATTCCCCATTAGTCTACTTCGTAAAAGTCAGAGAAAAAAGAACACAGAGATGAACTGAAAGGAGAACAATATTGTTGGATATTTGTAACTCCTTTCTTCTGAAAGGCGGACAGACTGTAATCTGCAGTTAACAGCTTCCTTGTCTGCAGTAGCCAAGTCCATGTTGCTGTGACAGCAGTTTTCATTACTGTCAAGGGAGATCTGGGCCTGCTGCTGTCCTGCAGGGAAACTGGGTTCTGCTTGCTTAGGCAGGCTGGCTGCTGGGGGCCAGATGCCTGGCAAGAGGCAAAAAGAACTCCCTAAGTCCACTGAGGAGAAGGGGGATACTTGGCTTGCCTCTTCTCCTTCTCTCTTTGTACCTTTTCACTCTTTTTTCTCTCCCACCCTCATTTCTCCCTTCCTTATTCCCTCCTCCTCTTCTCCCCGCCCCCTCTTCCCTTTCCTGACATTGGAAGTAGTAGTGTTAGATCAAGAGAATCCCCATTCAGTCCCTGCTTCACAAATCCCAGGTGGTGGGCATCCCAGGCTGCAAAGTGGCCTTGTTCAAAGGCCCTCATACCCATTACCTCAGTGCACTAAGGGGTGAAGCTTTCCCTCCATTTTCCAGTTTGTAGGCCAACATGCAGATCTTAGGTGATGCCTGTTCTTCCTTGTGTGACCTGCTTCATTCCTTGACTTCCTGTCCAGGTGGGTATTTTACACTGTTTGGAAGAAAGCTAAACCTTGAAGATGAACATCCCCTAATCATGCGTGCTGCAAATAGCTTTCCTGACCTCCATATGCCGTATATGACATCAAAATGAGTCAGGCAATTGATTGTGAATTCCTTCAAGTTTTCTCTTTTTAATAATTATTTTTAATTTAAAAAAAAACGATGGAAAATGTATATTTTGAGCTCTAGGGCGTTAATTTTTAGAAAGTCAGCTGGAAGACAATTAGATAGCACAGCAAAAACTACGAAATGCACTGACCCCCTAGAATGTGATTTTTGTTACTTTTTGTTTCTACGTGGCTTTATTTTTGTTGTTGTTTAGTTTTGCTTTGGTTTTGATAGACCTTCAATTTGGACGTTTGGAGGAATGAACATCATTGTTTTATTCTGGAGGGAAGTTCTTGATGGTGTTTCTTTCCCACAAAATTGACTTAGTTATTCAAATTTGGTGCTTATAAGAGTTAAAAAATGAATAGCAATGCTTCAATTAAAATTACAAAAGAAACATTTTATGTGTTCTGTTGTTTTATTTCAGCCTAGTTCTTATTTCTAACCTCTGATGGCCTAAAACAAAGGTATATCCTGAACTATTTTTAGTTCTGTTATAGTACTCCATGCTATTTATCTCTTTATAATAGGAAGGCCTCTGGGCCTTTTTTGATCAGTAGTAATGACTTCATTTACCACTGTGGTAAATGATACACAGCCTATTACTTTCACCACTTCTGCATTATAAAGTTGACCTGAGGATAGCAAAAGATTTTGCTTGACTATAAAGTTGAAAGCCAAAACCTTATTTTTGTTCCCACTCTTACCAGTCTATTAGATGTGGAAATAGAGATCTTTTTGGATAGCTGCTATGAAACTTTGAGAAGACTGTAGGATGTGCAGATACACAATAGCATTTTTGGAGAGGCCTGGCGAAGAAAAAGAACAACTTGAGAAGTTGTTCTTTTTGTTGCATGCATCAACTTGGTATTGTATTGTATGGTGGGTAACAGTGCATATCAAAGGTGGGCTTATGTTGCCTTTGATTGTTAGACATCCCTGGGTTATCCTGTTGTTTCTATAAGAAGTTTATATTTTATTAGTGGAATCAGTTCATGGTGAAATGGCAATAAGCAAAACATTTAAAACGAAATATTTCATGAGATAGAATTAGGGTCAGCATGGAACATTCTTCATCCCAAGGTAGGAACAAATGGTAGAATATACAACAAATGGTCTTTAAATATGATTGTAGGCATACTTGTTTTTCTTTTTAATTGGGTTTGCACAGAAGAAACAATAAGGTAGAATAAAAAGTAAAGAGAATCACATTAGAACTAGATAAACTTAAAACTTTTTTTGTGAATGTATAGGTTAAAAACAGCATCACTAGTGGCCACCCCATCCTTTCAAGTTCTTCTGTAATGCTTTGCAAAGGCTCTGTATGCTATGTAGAATTTAAAATGATTGTACTGCTACTATTACAATACTGTTTGTGGCCCATAGAATTGATATTTTCCATTTTAGATAAGAAACCAAATGTATATGCTGTTTGTATATGGTGTTATTAATGTGTAGACATGACCTTGTATTTGAAGACCGACTTCAGGACAAGGCAACAGATCTACCCCATAAGTCTGGTGATGCAGGTCCTACTAAGAACTGGGAGGTAGACGTAAAGTTTATCAGGTCATGCCAGGCCACAGAAGATACATTTGGGAGAAAGTGAAGTATTATGAGGGGAAGAGAGGAATGGAAAGATAGAAAATTTTATTTTGGTTGATAATAGTGAATTCTAACCTGACTCATTTTTTTTGTATTGGAGAAAGGTTGATACCTGATTGTTTTGAACATCTTTGTTACTGTTTTAAAATGAAAGCATGCAAACTGAACTCTGACAATGAAAAACCACCTTTCCTTTTGCTGCCTTTTAAAGAAATGTTAACAGAGCTAGTACTGTTATTTTACTTTAATGGCTATAGTGTTATATTGTGTTAAAGTCAACTTTATTATAGTGTCCCATAGCTGCTTTTTAATGAATGACAAAACAAATATAACTGTAGCTTAAATTCTATTCAACACATCAGCAGATCTCAAGGATTGATTTATTAAAAATGACATGCTACTTTCTCTTGGAAATATGATTGAATATTTATAAAACCTGATTAATGGTGATCCAGTTGGGCTGGAGGAAGGCTGGGTTGGCAGTGTTTTTAATAGGCTATAACACTGCTGATGTCAAAATAAAGATGTGCTATTCCTTCCTGTGCAGTTTGAATAGTCATGTCCTTGTTTGCATTAACTATTGCTGACACAAGAGTTTGCATTTCTCTCTACCATCTGTCTGTCAGTAAATTTATCTGTTTCATTCTGTTCTTGTGACTCCTGGGAGAGGACAGGGGATTGATTGTGTGTGAGGGTTTTGTATCCTACGTCATTGGTCTGTATTTGAGGCCCTTACAGCCAGTTCTCAAGTGTGGCCCATCAACCAGTGCTTTGTTTTCTAAGCACTTTACTTCAGTTGACCCTTTTTTAAATTTTTAAAATTTTTTTATTGTTGTGCTGGGGGTACATGTGGCATTTACAAAAGTTCTTACAATATACCAGTAATACCTGAATTCACCCCCTCTACCATTCTCCTTTATCTCCCCAAACTTTTTTCTTATGATGACACTTGTTCTAGCAAGGAAGAAGCAGTGTGCTGATTTTTTGGGACACAAGGTCCTTATCATATCCTCTTGGAACAGCATTTTGAGTTTGCACTGTTCCTGAGGCCACTTGGACAGCATTATTTGATACCTAATTATTAGATCTGAGCTGCTACATGACCTTGAAACACCTGACCTCCTTTGATAACCCTGTTGCTGTGTCTCTTTGTACCAAATAATCTCTAACATTGCTGTGCTTTGGGTTAATAAACCACATTAATTTCTGTAATATTGCTCAGTCTTACAGTAGCTTTGTGAATGAGATGCTAATATCACTGAGTAGGCCAGCAGCCCCTCTGTGAGATGGGCCTGAGGGTCCTGTGGCCACAGTTAAGAAAAAGCTAGGTTCCAGCATTCTCAGTTTCCAATGTGAAAGGTCCATCAGGGCTTCTTAACCTTTTGTGAACTCTGGACGCTTTTGGGAGGTGCCTGATGAGACCTGCAAGCCCCTTCTCAGAAACATATTTTTAAATATGTCAAGAAGATATGATTACAAGGAATCAAGTTATATAAGTTTTCAAAAATTTATGGTTTAATATTGTGCTGCTTTATTAACTTATTTCATAGCTGGATCAAGTGGTAGATCAAATACCATAATTTTGAAGGAGTGATAAGCATAAATATTTATAAGATCCATAGCAACTGAAATGTGATAAGGTGTCTGATTTCTCTTGTTGACAAAGTTATTGGAATTGCTAATACTAACATGATTTGTCACCTATGTTGGCGCTTAAGGGAAATGCTAGAGATTAGCGAAGGGAAAGATGCAGCTGTTTTACTATCCAAGTTTATGACTGCACAGAATTCAGTTCAGACTCCAGGCTAAGAACCCCTCCTGACCTTCATACTTCCACTGTTTTATTGGATTTGGGTGATGGGAAAGGAAGGTGGGTTCTTTTACCCCTCTGTCAGAACCTCAAATCAACTCTGACAGGCCAGTTCTTCTCAGCCAGAACCACTTAAAACCTCAATTACCTGGTGCAGCCATTCCACTGATTTCTGCTTTACTCATTATTTAAAAAATGAGAAGTAGAACATGAGCATGAAATAGCTCGGTGCTTTTGGAAAGCTTTTTGAATACTCTTGGATGTGAGTTCCCTGGGAAATCAGCTGATATAATGTGACTGGACAGATATACTTATCTCTCGAATCTGGGGGTCCCAGGGATGCCCAGACTGGCTCATTAATATAGACAGTTTTCCCATGTAACAACCAACATGTGATCATTTCAGTGAGCAATTCCTTCATAATGAAGCTTTAGAGAATGTGTCTCTCTCTGCAACTTTGCACAGGAATGTGACAGAATAAGTGGATCAGGGGCCCTTCTGGGTAAGGAGGCCTGTTGATGGAAGACTCCCAGTTTCCAGATGGGGAGGATTGGAGGGTTGGTTGTTCTACCTTATTTCCTGGAGATGGAAAGTCCAACAAAGTAAAAACTTGCAAGGGCAGATCTCTGTAGACTTTGGCCTTGACCCTAAAGTTAATCTCATTAGAAATCATTCTTAGTTTCACCTATTAGGAAATCCTTTTTTCTTTTTTGGTAGTACTGGGGTTTGAACTCAGGGCCTCATGCTTGGTAGACAAGTATTCTACCACTTGAACCACACCCCCTGCCCTTTTTGCTGTCATTTATTTTTCATACAGGTTCTTGCACTTGTGCTGTTTGCTTAGGACCAGCTTCAGATCATGATCCTCCTGCTCCTACCTCCCACATTGTTAGAATTACAGGTGTGTACAACCATGCCCAGCCCTGGAAATCCTCTTTTAAAAAATTTTTGTGCTTAAAAAACTTTTCCATATTGGTCAATGATTATGGTGGTAGTTTAGGTTCATGTTAAGCGATTCTGACTGCACACACAAGTTCTGTACTTCCTTTCATAGCCTCTACTTCCTAAATATTCTACCTTGGCCTCCTACTTTCTGTTTTTGTCTGAGTTAAATTTGTTACTTGAAATTCTCCATCTGTCCATCCTCCCAAGGCTAAAGAGAGCTGTCAGCGTGGCTTTCTCATTGCCTGGTCCCTTCACACTCAGTGTTTCCAGTTTTCCCTACAGTCTTAGTAATAACCTTCATCCCATACCCAGAGTCCATGCCTGTTGTGTTTTATAGCTGTAGAGACAGTGTGTCTTGATGGGGTTCTGACTCTGCCACTTAAACTGAAAGGTTTTCACTGAAGTGTGGTGGAGGCAGGGGAAGAAGCAGGTAGTTCGGGGCAGGTACTCCAGATGGCATTGGCTAGAATGCATGCCGTAGAGGCAGCCCCTGGGGCCCTCTTGCTCACTTCTGTCCAATATGCATGCATGGAGTAGGCACTTAGAAAATATTTCTGACCTTGGGAGATGGAAGTACACTGTAAAGGGGGATTCTTAGAACAGCATTTTCCAAGTAGAACATGGAGAAGACATTGAGGTTGGGCTTGTTTGAGAAGAAAAGCAGTCTGCTGTAAAGAGAGCAGTGTAGCCTGCACTGAAGTGAGGACACAGTCCGGGTACTGGTAAAAGCACTATGTTGGTGAAGGGAGTTTTCCAAGCCCAGGCCTCGCTTCCCAGGCTCCTTGGTGCCTTCATTGGCTGAAGAGGAGGAGCAAAAACTCGGAAGGTATGCAGCCATACACTGGAAAACTGGAAGTGTTCCAGATCTACAGGCAGCCCGCTTCTGTGACTATTTTTTCTTACCTGTTTGCTGTCCCCTGACCTCACCCTTGAGTGTCTCCATTCCCTACCTGTGTTTGGCAGACAGAGCTCCTGCACCAGGCTTCCACTTGGGTCCAGGCCAGTGAGTGGAAGACTGTCCTTGACTCAGGTGCCAATGCCAGCCAATCCACAGAGACCAGGGTCAGGGCTAGACAACTCATCCTGGCTTCTTGCTTTCAGTTTGAGTCTGGCCTTTGGCTCCCACTTGATGAACACAGAAGGATTTATGCACCAAAATAATTAAGCAGAGTAATGAATTTCAAGCCATTCAAAAAACGTTGAAGTCTTGAGTGTATGTAGACAATATAGAAATAAATGGACGCAAATACACAAGTAGATAAGGCTCATGCTTACTGTACAAAAGTGCGGGTTAAATTGAAAGGCGTGCCAGAGGTGAAAAATTAGCATTTTGTAATCAGTGAAGACTTGAGTCGGTGAAGAACTACCCATTGGTGTTAAATCAAGGGAGAAATTTTGACAAGGAACTCATTTATGTAGCTTTAAAATGTCTCACAGAGTATAAGTTGTACTACACATGCAGTTCCTTAAAATAACACAAACGAGAGGGGGGCAAAATTGTAAATGGCTTATAGGGCTAAAATTGAGGTGTTGGCAGGATGGATTCCTTCTGGAATCCTATGGAAAGAGCCCATTGTCTTTTTTTCTCTGGAGTTCCTCTGCATTCTTTTGCTTTTAGGTGCTGCCTCCTCCTGGTCCATCTTGTAAGGGCACCTGTGATTATAGTGAGCCCCACCTGGATGACTGAGGATACTATCCCCATTTACCATACCTGCAAAGTCCTTTTTGATGAATAAAGTAATATTCATCAAGGGTTCTGGTGATTAGGAGATGGGCACCATGGGAGGGGAGCATTCATCCTATCACACACTGCAAGGGGAAAAGTAACTTGATGGACAAATTGCACAAAACTATGACCAGCTGACCAAAATCAACATCCCTAAGGGCAGGTAGACATTCCGTCCCTCCAGATGTGGTAGTCTGAGAAGGGTGTATCACTTCTGTGCAGTACTTGAAAAGAATGCCATGAGGAAACCTTAGACCCCCAAACGAGACAGTGCATTATGTAAGACAGACTGTGAAAAGGTTTCTGAGTAAAGCAGGCTGAAGAGATAGGACAACTCAACACCTACCTCACCCTAAACTAGATTCTGTATTGGAGGAGGAAATTGACACTATTGTCAGTTGACAAAATCGAATGCAGACAGTAGTTTTAATGCAGGTTTTGTATTAACGCTGAGTTTACTCAAGTTCTTAATGCTCTTAATGAGTTGGTTTCTCATTTGCCTGAGGGATATGCTAGCAAGATTTTTGGACACAGAAAAAAAATTGAAAAGGAACAAGGCTCAAGGGAACTGTGTGTGGCACCCGAAGAAGCATATTGCTGCTTTAGGATCTAGCGTTAAGAGGCAGGTGGCAGGTTTTGGAGGCTGTAGAGTCCTAGTGGCTAACTTATGCCTGAGACTTTAACTGCTGCACGGGTTCCCCCTGGAGATCACAAGCCAGAAGAGCAGGGCTCTGCCTGTGGTGCCTGCTGTAGGAGAAAGAAAAAAGGAAGAGCCAGCAAGAGTAAGAGGATGGTGTGGCACTTGGCCTTACAGCCACTCTCACATTCTTGTGTGTCCCAGTAGCTTAGAGACAAAAGGCCAGTCTACAGCCCTACCAACCTGAATGTGCCCGATCTCGTCTGATCTCGGAAGCTAAGCAGGGTTGGGCCTGGTTAATACTTGGATGGAGACGAAAGGCCCTAGGTGAGATCTTGCTTCAAATACTCTACTGTTTCTTTCTGGTAGTGTCTGAGCTGCTGCAGACACTGCTGAACATAAAGGGTTTTGTTTTCTTTCTTTCCCTGATGTATGTGGCAAAAAAGAGGGATGGTGAGCAAGAAGGGGTCTGAAGACGATTTAAGGCAAAGAACCCCACCTTGTAATATTTCAGATTTGCAAATAGGATCCCATTAAAAGGACATTGAGTTTTATGAAGAAAGTGGCTAAGGACTTTGACAGGTTCTGTTGCAATGGAAGTTTTCCTGCCTCTAAAAACAGAAAGAGAAAAATCAGGGCAGCATTTCTTCGAACTTAAAAGTGTATGAGAATTACCTGA